GTGAATAAATGTATGAAAGATGAAGACAAGAAAAGACGATGAGGTAAGGAACCAGGATGGAGGGAGGAATACGAGGCAATGAACGGATATCTCCGAGGAAAATGGAGTCAAGACATGCAGAGCAGATGAATAGACGGCAACCAGGTAAATAAACGAATTGAGAAAGAGGACATTTGTGGAGGAAAGGCAACTCTGAGGGTGTACCCGACCCAAATGGAAGGTCGCAACGGCTACTCTAGTCAGAAAATGTGGCAACGCACGAGACCAGTGGAAGGATAAACAGCAACATGACGAAAAGGCGTTGAATAGTAGGATCAAGAGGTGGATCAGAGGCAAACTGTATCAAATTCCGTGGAAAAAAAAGCCTAAGTAAGGACAATCCTTCGACATACTTCAGTTAGACGATGAAGAAGTGGAATAGGAATTCATGATTTATGAAAATAGAAACAACAAAAAGGAAGTAGTAAAGGCGACGCCAAGCAAATCGGGAGGAGATGGACGTGGATTCAAAAATCAGTGGATTGAATGAAGAAAGGACGAGGTGATGCATGGAGGAGAAATCTGAGGAGAGAGGAGGAAGCCAAGAGAAGGAGAAAAAAGCAAAGAAGGTATTGGAAAGGCACTTGGACTGATGAATTGGGAGATTGGCAAGAATGTGAGCAAAATCTAGCAGCATCAAAAGCATGAATTGTTAAACTCACACCGAAGCGACTCCACACATTGTCAAACTGCAAGACCGATCTACTTGAACAAAGCCGCCACCAAAAAACGCACGACCTTCAATCCAAAGTAGATCGTAATTAGTCCACCCAGGAGGGCCTGTTGTTGTTCCACCCCACGCAGACGTGATGACAGCCGACTGACGTAGGCTTCGAGATGACTTAACCGCGTTTCTGCAGTGCGAAGACGTTCAATTATGTTGTTGTGACCAGCAGTGCCGCTAGGCGCCATCTGGACGGTAGCGGAGGCTGTGGCGTTGGCTACTGCCGTAATTTGGGTTGAACTGGAGAAGTAAAAGCGGCGCCCATGAGTCTTGGGAAGGCGGTGCTACTCTAATGCGAGAATCGAGAGCGATATCGCCATAGCATAGAGGACGAATGGTGCCCGAGAATTAAACGGCGAGCAGAGGCACAAACCGATAGCAGAACCAATCGAGCAAATAACAAGAAAGTCCTCATTAAGCCGCCAAAGTGTGCGTATGAAATGAAATAGCCTGCAAAAGACCGAGGTCCGAAGGAAAGAGCTACTTCCTTTTAAGCAAGAGCGACAAAAATGTGCCACACACACACTCATTCACAAGCAGTATCAGGCGCCAGAGAACTGCCTACTTCCATTGGTCGGTCTCCAATCAGGCAACGTAAGGCTCTACAAGAAGTCGATTATTTTACACTCACACTGAAACGCACTAATGCGATCCACAAGGGTGATGGCAAGCGAACCAACTCAAGTGTCGTGAATAAGCACACATCCTATAAATACTCCAATCAACGAGTAATTTGATCAAACGGGTTCGTGAAATCGAGTCGATTGTGTGAACACGGAGGTGCCGAAGACGGAACTCAAAAA